CCCATGCACGCCAAGTATGTGGATTGTTTAACGGCTAATGCTCCTGAAGAGTAAAACCTGCGGCCAAAAGCGTCAAGCTTTTTACCCTCCTTATCTGATGGCGTAGTGTGCGTACGTCGAGATTTAGACGATGATGACACAATCATTGAGTTAGGAGCTGGATGGGTCATCAAAAATTCTGCCTCTGGATCTTGGATTTTATACATGTGATCCAGCTTTCGCGTGGATACTGGAGCAGAAAAAGGATTTTTCCAAGGTGACTTAGCGGCTTCAACTAAAACGGTAGACATGGGGAGGGCTATGACGGAGGAAGTGTCCATTTGAACCACATCATATAGCGTGTCAGTAGACTGTGGAGGCTTTTGGATGACAGAGAGATTCAAAGCAACAGCCATCCTTTTGATCAAGTCCGCATAAGCATGCATGTTATCAGACGGTGAAATAGGCAGTTCATGGGCTACATCAGGAGTAGGAGACGTGTGATCCGGAGATGTAGGCACCACAGAATCATCGGAATCTGAACCCTCGTCCACCTCGTCAGATGAATCTTGTTCTGAGTCCGTCTGAGGCGTGATATGGACAAGTGGCACTGCAGGCACCAAAGGCTTAGGTGTTGGAGCCACAGGTTGCGCTTCTAGTGTCAATGGTGGGGGGTCGACTGGAGGCCTTGAAATTGTTGCAGTAGGCCGAGATTTAGTAGGCGACCGAGATCTGTGGTTGGATTGAACAGAGTAGCGGTCCCAGTCTGGATATGTAGTATGTTGGAGCCATGGCATTGGAGGGTGGTATGGCCCATAGAGATATCTCATCTGCCTCTCATCCCATGAAAGTGGTGGACGATAAGATCGAGGAGAGCGGCTTCTAGCCCTAGGATGTACTGGCCCTTGGGCTGTATGATAGTAGCCAGACACATCGGTATCGACAGTCGGAATCAAATGAGAGGGGTGGTAACGCTCCACATTATGTCTCGGTCGGTATCGACCACCATCGGTATCGGGTAGTTCCGAGAGCATCGATGCCGATGAAGTAGATCTTGCGGGGGAAAACTCTGCACCTATTGGGTGACTCATGAGTTCCGCCGTATCGATATCGACGATCTCTGGTATCTGCTGGCTTAGGGATGAAGCCATTAGACCAGATGGCGACATTCTAGGAGGTGGTAGCTCCGGTATCGACGCCTCAGTCGGTATCGATGCATCCTTAGACTTCGATGCAACCGTGGATTCCGGCAGTAATGGTGGCGGGTTCTGCAAAGGAACGGCCTCAGGGGGCCCAGTCTTACCCTCCTTAGACGATTTGGACGGCTTGTCCTTCTTAGTGGAATGTTCCTTCACAGACTTGCCTTTAGTTGACTGTTTTGAAGCGGCTTTCGATGTCGACCTCGTCGGTATCGATGCTCTGGTATCGATGGCTGTACGTGAGGTAGAAGGTTGGTCCGCCATAGCAGACGACGGGTGAAGCGCGGATTCCAACAAAGCGACCTTTAACCGTGCGGCACGGTTCTTCTTAGTCTGATTCGAGAATTTGGCACAATGCTTACAGGCATCAGCTCTATGCGACTCGCCTAAGCAGAACAAACAAAGTTCATGGCCGTCTGGAGGAGCCAATTTACTTCCGCACTTCTTACAACAGTTAAAAAATCCCCACTTATTACTCTTCTTCTTTTTCTTTTCCATACGGCAAGGAGGCAAATGGCGAGGAAAAGGCGAGGAAGAGGGGGGGGGTGGCCCGAAGGCCTGAGGAAAAAATTTCCCTCACAAAAATAAAAGTTCTTTTTTTGAAGAAGAAGAAGAAGAAGACGACTAAGGAGAAGTCACACGGAGGACGAATCCGAAGAAAGAAAGAAAAATTAAGTAAAGGCCCGAAGGCCGCTACAACTATCCGGTCGGGAGGAAAGGCAAAAAGGGTCCTTTCAACGCGGCGGTAGAGAGAGAACTGGCGGGATGTCCGTGCCGGTCCCTCTGGGCATGCGCAGTGGGGTTCCTGCGCATGCCTGGAGGGGCTCGGCGTGAAAATCCGTTGAAATTTAGCTTGCTACAGCACCGGTTGGGTCAGCGCGTGCGCACTAAACCCATTGGTGTGAAGCACAGAGACCACGAAGAAGATCCGATGATTCTTGGCACGGATTTATTTTGAGCCTCCCAAAGACCATGATTTTCTACAGAGAGGAGTGATGGGACTTAAGACTGAGTGGATATTAGTAACCTTTCTGTCACGAATGTTCTGGAACTTCAACCTGCCTGAGCACTACTAGTCAATACACTGGGTAAGTACTGGCCACTGACTGCCTGACTATAGTCAAGTTTTGCCAAATATTTCATGAGATTAAAAATGCCACCCTGTAAACGGCATGTTTTGGTGGCATGTGTTAGCAAACCTGGTTTTTGTTCTCTTTAAAGTTAAACTTAATATGAAACAGAATTAACATATTTTTGTAATTAGTACAAGTATAAAATATCAATCCAGCTGATGAATAAAACATATTTCTATTTTTATCCTTTTAAAAATACTTCACCCATTTTTTGCTTGATCTAACGGAAAGCGAAGCAGCAAAGAGAAATCCTGAACCACGTGAGCAAAGTAACCATCACCATCTTTAAAATGTAAGTACAGCCAACACGGAGCACTGAATTACCTTGATCAGTAGAATGCTCTTCAGATTTTGCTCCAAGTATATTAGCAGCAATATTCACCATATTTAAAATGGCATCTAATAAAAACAAAAAAATAGCCATGAAGGAAGTTATTCACATGGTTATCCTGACTGGACTGGAGAGGGTTAGGCGGATAAGCTCTCTGCCTCGGATACCAAACTGAGATACAAGAATGGGCCAGCAGGGGTTCATACTGCCTACTTTCTGATCAATAACCCATTTGCCAGTTTATGCTTGCAATTAAGATTTCTCTTTATAAAATCATTTCAAACTGCTGCCCGCACCAAGGTGTGCAAAAGGTGAGACAGAGCTCCCCCCCCCCAAGAAAAACTGGCTTAAGGGGGGGTTCAGTAATCATCCAGACGGACCCCTCCGCCGAATGTGGTGTGCTTGTTCCAGGAAGATACCTCTCTCAGTGTCCCCTCTAAGCTGAGTTAGTGTGAGCTAGCTCACAGTTTTTTTAGCCTCCGGCTCACAAATTTTTGTCTCCGCTCAGGAAGGAGGGCTCCAGAGCAACCTAACTGATGCAGGAGCCAAACCGCTCGCTCACAACTTTAATGCCAGGAGCTCACAAGGTAGAATTTTTGCCCACAAGACTCCACAGCTTAGAGGGAGCATTGCTCTCAATATACTTCCACAGAAATCATGGGAGTAGTAAAAGACGAAAACTGAAGGCTCAAGATGAAGTGGGGAGAACAAAACACCCCCAACCCCCACCACCCGTTTTTTCAGGGGGGGAAACCAGAAAATAGGTTTAAAGTGGTATTCTCTTAAAACGGTGGGCACGGTGCTTTTCAAGGCATGGCGTTTATCTGTGTACTCACTTGTGGCAGAGCCAATTAGATTCTTTGAAGATTTTTCTTCACCCACATTATAGTCCAAATGATAATCTGTTTAAAACAGAAAAATATGCTCTTAATGGGCTAGCAAGAAGTCTCCTGTAGCAGTTCCAAAATGGTCTGATCAAGGTGTACTTGCTTAGAATCACAGTTCACTAGAACAAGACCATGCAATATTTTGACACACCCAAACCCAAACAGTCAAAGATAAACACTGGAGTTGATGGATAAAGCTATAAGCTCCAGCCTAAGGAGGCCTGACAGATGTCTTCTCTCATCTCTTCCAGTCTCCACCAGCAGACAGGCTGGCTTCCGAGCAATGCTGCACTGGGAGGCAGAAGGAGGGGAACTTTGTGCCATTGCTAAACCCCACCAGGGCAGGATTATGGTGCATCACTGCATGAGCCCAGTTGGCACAGCCTAGCCCGCAACGTCTCTCTCTGAAGGGGGACGTGGTTGTGAAT